GTGGACATGGTTTCAGCCAATCAGTTTACACTGTCATACATCAGGAAGACCATTTTCTGACGGAAGCTATGGCACGTGGCTCTCGTCGAAGCCATCGGCATTTCAGGAAAACATTTACTAGTAGTATGACTGTATGTGTATGTTTCAACAGAAATGGCCACGTAAATCTTAAAACAACCCAGCTAGTACTACTTTACTAGTACATGTAGAATGCTCAGCATGGCTGTTTGCCTGTCTCTTTCGTCTCACTGGACTGGGGAAACTGGTCCGCTTTCCTGCAACTTTCCCAAGCGAATATGTGTAGGAGTCACTGTTTTTTATTAAAAAGGATATTCATTGTTTAAAGAAAAACACAAATTACGATACGCATAGTTGTTACTATATTCTTCGAGGGTGGTACAATATATTTTTTAGCAAAAAACAAAAGCAAATATTTTGAGAGGTAGCCTAGCAAATATTTTGAAAACTAGGACCAATACGAATGTGATTGGAAAAATTGGTTCTATACCATTAATAGATGACAATATTTATAAAGTATATTTTCAATCTCCAACTTGCATGGTAGCCTAGTTTTTAACCTTAAACTACGAAATTGTGTAATGGACATCCTCCAACTGTAAAAACTGGAAAATTTTGGTCCTCTTGCTGGTTTCAAAGGTGACTTTCTATTTTTCTAATAATAATAAAAATCTGATTTACTATATAAAAAATTTATAAATAATTTATTTTAAATCAAAAGAAATATGAAAGCACTATTTTTTTTATAGAAGTGTTATACATGTTTATGATGTATATATAGTTATTTGAAACTGACTTATTGCTTATACTCGTGCTCATTATTTATTTAAAACAAAATAAGATCCAAATAACTCTAAGCAGAGCACTAATATATAGCTAACACTTTTAGAAAAGAATCGTACTAGTTTCATATTTTTCTGATTTGAAATATATTAATTATGAATTTTTAGAGATCAAACTAAAACTTTATTATTTTTAGAAAATAGGAAACCACATTGGAAGCCAACCATATGAACAAAATTTCCCGGTTTTAGCAGTTAAAGGACGTCTGTTATCCGATTTTATTGTTCATGAATGAAAATCCGACTTTTATTAAAAATTCACAAAATGAAAATCGGACTAACAAATTTATATAACAAAATAATAAGCTATGAGGTATAAAAATATATTCTATCCTTTTAGAAAATATCATCAATTTCCGAAGAAACAATTTTTGCAACTTGCTTCATTCCATGGTATTCATCAGGAGTTCTTTCTTGCTTATTCCATGGTATTCAAGGAGTTCTTTCGGTAACCTTATTTTTTTAGTGCTACAAAAACAATTTTTTCCAATATGATTTTAATCCCGCACAGAGAGTATGAGCAATTTTTCACAGGCCCAACACTGGCATCTCCATCTCCCTGCTCCGTTTTAAAACGAGACATGGAGGCGCTTCAGATACTGACAAGTGGTTTGTCTGTTGGTTTTCTTTTTAAAAGTTGTTTGGTTGTGCAGAATCTAACGATCATCAAATATCCAGTGACCGCAGCAGTTATTAATATAGATTAATTATAAAAACCAATTACATAGATGGAGGCTAATTTGCGAGACGTTTTTTAAGCCTAATTAATCTATCATTAGCACATGTTTACTGTAGCATCACGTTGTCAAATCATAGACTAATTAGGCTTAAAAGATTCATCTCGCAAATTAGTCTCAAGTTGTGTAATTAGTTTCGTAATTAGTCTATATTTAATACTCTATACATATGTTAAACATTCGATGTGACAGGAATTTTAGGAGGCACCGCAGGAACCAAACAGGGTACTAGTGTGCAGAATCTAACGATCTTGGGGTCCAGTGACCGCAGCAGTTATTATTAGCAGAGTTTGCAGACTCTATATCTGAACAGTGAGTCTCAATACTGTGGAAACTCCCGGAATAAAAGTACTAGTACCTACCTGCAGTTCAGCCCTTGTGAAGTTAAGGGAGAAGCCAGGGCCCATGATCCACCCGAACCAGCCTGGAATTGACACGGTTCTTATATGATTTTCAGAATTAAATAAAAAACAACAAGTGATGCTTCTTTCTCAAAAAAAAAAAGGGTGATGCTTCCACTAGTCCTGTCCTGTACTCCTGTCTGCATTTAGCGGTATAACAAACTACCAGCATCTGATTAATTAACTAACTAACTGAAACCTGCTAAAAGCCAATAACAAGTGAATTATTCATGGGTAATAAACAAATGATACCACGAGTCAATGACGTTCCATGTGTTGGTTTCATGCCATTTGTCCAGCTTCTGCAGCTTTGCGGGCTTCATATGCCTCCTCGCTGAAAGTGGGACCTACTCCCTCCGTTTAAAATATGAAAATAAACTTGTTGGCTTGTACAGTACAGGACATTATATTATATAAATCTGAAAACAGAGGTAGTACCATTTTCTGAAAGCCATTTCTATTGTCTAGCAGGGATTTGGAAGGAATGATCCTTGAAATTCAAACCGAGGTGGGCATTTGGGAGCTAGGCCCCGTTCAGCTTACCCGATATTTGTTTTTTTTTCAGCCGGAATAGTGTTTTTCTCTCACAACAATTCAGCCAGAACAATGTTTTTCTCTCACAACAATTCAGCCAGAACAGTGTTTTCAGCCAAAATTCCGCATTCAGCCGGTCGTATCACCAAGCATGGCCATGTGCCCATGGCCACCATCAGAGTTTCAGGGAAACATCATCAAATCCTCCTCAACTATTAAAAAAACCATCCTTTATGATTTTGTTACACAAACAATAATGATTCTTTGCCTATCTCCATCTTCAGTTGCATTTCTTTTTCCTTATGTAAGAGCCGAACAATTAGATTCAGTGAATATACATGGATGTGGCATTCCTACGATGAATGATCCTAGAGAAAGGAAATTACAACAAAAAAAAAACGGAGCAGGAACTGTGAAAAGTATTCATATACGAAGGATCGAAGAAGCAACCGGACTCCTATGAAAACTACACCATGGATGGATTAATGTAAGAGCAAACAAGCGTCATCCGAGACGTTTCTGGCGAAATGGCGTACAACTTCCGTGCCAATTCCCTTGGTACACACCCCGTCTTCCTAACCGCGGAGACGAGCTACATACCACACACTCGGGCGAGCACTCCTCTCATTTTAAAGCGATCAGCGCGCACACCAAGGCCCAAACTTGGGCTGCCAATCCATTCCTCCTTGCAGCTCTCCGCACTACTGTTGCCGGCTTGCCGCGATCACCTACGCAATCCTACTAGCTCCAGAAATCCGGCCGCGCCGTCCGTCGCCGCCAATATGCACCCAGGCCGCCACGGACAAGGGCGCCACCGTGGCGCCGCGGACGCCGACTTCGTGGGCACGGGGTTCGCGCTCGTGCTCAGTGCGGTGTCGTACCTCCTCCTCCTCCTCGGCGACGGCGACGGCGGCGGCCAGCCTGCTTCCACCCCGGGCATGGAGTGGCAAGTCATCCTGGCTTTCGGGGCCATGGCCGGCGGGCTGCTGCTGATCATGCACGGGATACGCGCCCGTGGAGCGCGGCCTCCCGTTCTGGTGCGCCGCGTCGCTGGCGCCGCGGGGGCTGTGATGTGGCACGCGGGTGGGCCCGAGAGTCTGCTACCCGTGATGGCCCTCCTCCTGCTCCCGTTTCTCGAAGCCTGGTTCGATTTCTTCTGACGACCACAACGCCCAGGGCCCAGGCCCAGGCCCAGCCAGCTGCAGAGTTCGTTCAGAGAAACAAGAACGCATGCTTGTCTTGTCGGTGAGTTCGTTCATCCATGATCCAGCCGATTCGCAAGCGACTGTATAACCTGTTCGCTTGAACTTATCAGCCGACTTATCAACTAGAATCTACAGTGTTTTTTTCTCATAATAAAACAGCTTCAGTCGGCTTATCAGCCGGCTAACAGGTAGGCACTTTGTTTCCTCGTGGTTTTAAGTGTCCATGTGTGTGTTTCTTGGGTTCATGGACTCCTAGTTTGGTGCCTTAGTGGTGGTGGTGTTTTCCCTAATTGGTCACTTTGCTTCCCAAATAAGCATCATCGGCTGACAGCCTGTTCGGCTGGACTTATACGATCGTAAATTTCCAGCCCGAACAGTATTTTTCTCTCACACAAATCAGCCAGCAGTACTTTTTTACGAACCAGCAACGAACCAGTCCAGCTAAACAAACAGGCTGTGACTTGTCTGTGTCACCAGGGCATTGACTAGTGTAGGTAGTGCTAAGATCTGATGGTGCAAAGGTTAAGAAAGATCACATGCACTTTTACATGCATGCCTGTTCCAACGGATTGGTAAATAAAGAGGGGCATTAGGAAAATTCTTGGTCTAGTTTCTCTCTGCGTCCATGGGGTCCCTGTCATACGGAATGGCCAAGTCGACTCAAACCTTTGGATGAAACTACGGTGAGTCTGGGCCTCTGATTAAGCTAGCATTCTTTTTTTTTTAGGATCCTGAATGTAATCACAGGTTCTCTGTATAATATTTGCATGTGAGACCGCCTTTCAAAGAAATGCTTGTGTCATTCTCACTGACTCACTGTATCGCATAACACGAGCTCAGCTCGCTGAACCTGGCAAAAGCAGCCTTGTGTAGACTTGAAACAAGTCCGAAAACAAAAACATACATCAGCTTATTTATATTCTTTCATTCTACCACCATCAAGGTTGATACACGAGATTGATCTACCCTGTCTACACAACACAATTTCGTTTGTGTTATTAATAGTGCCTCAGCACACATCAAATTATATTAAAATGTCAACAACGAAAAGAGGACCTATATATATGAAACTAATCAAGGAACAGGTAGTGCATTCTCTCTGTGATACTTTTTTCTTCCAGCGCTGCAATAAAAGAATCAGACTTTTCTGTTGCTGCTTGCTATGTTTCTATGGTGATGAAGAACCAATTATCTGAAGGCTATATGACTGCACATGGACCCCTTGGATCTGCGTGATGAGTTTCTCAACCTTTCAACTCTGAATCAGGCTGATCCGTATCCGTTCGGGTGCGCTTTCTGCCATTTCCACGCCTGGGCGAGGCTTTGGCCAAGATCAGTGTATTGGGCTGTCCAGTTGAGGTCCCTGTGGATTTTCGATGGATCACTGTATACCTCGGCATAATCTCCGGGTCTACGGGCAAGATATTCAACCTTGATGGAAGCTCCTGTTGCCTTCATGCAAGCTTTCACAAACTCATTCACTGATCTACCTGATAAGACATAAAAGAAACACCACGTTCAGAGACAGAGGAAGGCATATGATCTTAAATAAAAGGGTATCTTTCTCTGAAATTGTTGATCTGGTTATTGGTTATTGATCTTTCAACAACCTTGGCCTGTTCCGACATTGTAGATTCCAACTTTGCCTGGCTGAGCTTTGCCAAGAGCTTTTACATGGGCATCTACAAGATCTGTGACATCGATGTAGTCCCTGATGCAAGTTCCATCTGCAGTGGGGTAATCAGTTCCACGAACCTGAAAAGAGCAAAGAATCACATATATACAATTGTTATACATGTAAAATTAATGGATGCAGCTACTTATACAAAAGTAAAAGGGGAATTGATGGCACTGAAATGAGCATGTAGAATACCTTTAGCCCTGGAATGATTCCCAAAGCTGCATCAAAGCAAGCACCGGATATCCGTCCATGCTCACGTAGCTCTGGCCTTGGAGCTTCTCCTAGCCGTCCCTCTGGATCTGATCCAATCACGTTGAAGTATCTAATTTATGCAGAGCGGGAAAGGGGTTAGAACAATTCCATGGATTACAATCTAATATAGGCTGCCGAAAACAAACCTTAAGATCATGACAGCCATGTTTGATTGCTTCTTTGATTTTGTAAAATCTAAGATGATGTCCTCTGCCATCTTCTTTGCCTTACCATACGGATTGATAGGATTCTGCAGTGGTTGAGAAAATAGTTAGAATCATGACAGCATCTATAAAAAGGAAGGTAAAAACTCGTGGATTGAGAGGCTAACCTGAGGAGTTGTTTCTACAATAGGCATCGTATCAGGTTCACCGTAGGTTGCACAAGTACTCGAGTAAATCAGAGTATTTACATTATGTGCTGCCATAGCCTCAAGAACTGTCAATGTGTTTGATGTTATGTTGTGGTAGTACCTGTTATAGCAGTGTTAACAGAGTATATACAGTTGGTTAGGAAGAACAACATTTGCTGCATATAACTTTTGCAAGGTGAACTAATACCAAGGAGGCAGCATAGGAAACAGTTGGAGCAAAAAATTTCAAACTTGCACTGCATCCATTTAAACTATAGAAGCATTTTGAGCTAAAGATGAAGATAGGCTTCCAGGAATGACAAATTTTGTGTGGACTTCCATTATAAATTTAATTTTGATTTAACAGAGTACCAATTAGATGGCTTATGTAGCAATTCCGTTCCAATAATTAAGGAACATAGGGTGCTTTGCTACATACACATCAAAGAAAATTCAACAGAATCATGCAAGTCCAAGCTTTGAAATATTTGAGCAGTAAAAGAAAACCAGTACATTACATGCCTAGGACAGGCCTTTACCTGAGTGGCTCCATTGTGCTCTCACCAACATAAGCAACAGCAGCAAAGTGCATAACAGCATCAAATGCATTCTCTGAAAATATTTTGTTCACCTGATTATTGGTTAAGTGCAAAACAAATCTCATCAACACAGAAATGTAAGGGAAGGGGGGAGCACTAAGTTACTAAACTTCAGACAAAGGATACAGCTTTGGCATCGCCTAAATCAGCATAAATAAATTGAAGCCTTCCGGGTTCTGGAAATAGCCGTTGAAGAACTCTAACAGCTCCCATGTTCCCTCTGGATAGGTTATCCTGTAATAAACATCAAATAATGGAAGTTGTTGTTACCACCAAACTCCGTCAGTGAAGAATAGAATGGGAAATAGGAATAATGAGGAATAGAATGGGAGATAGGAATAATAATTACCACAATGGTAACTCGGTAGTTGTCACTAAGGAGACGAAGAGTAGCATGTGAGCCAATATACCCAGCTCCTCCTGTTACTAACACATGGGTCACCCCAGTTTCATGGCGAGAGAACTGCAGGAAATGTGAGTGCATCAACAAAATGCCTCCAGTTGGAACTGCAGACACATGAATTGAACAGCTGCTAGAAAATTTCTGAACTGTACAACTGTGACAGAATTGTGACTATCAAGAACAAATGATGCATATATGTATCAAGTAAAATAACCCTGGTACAATAGCATAGATGTATCAGTAAAATGACCCTAGCACAACAGCATAAACGTATAGGTAAAATAACCCTTGCACGATAGAGTTACAACAGCAAACATTAAACCATGAGAATAGAAGGCATCATTCATTGCACAAATGTCTCATCCGATCACCATAATGGCAGTTCCCAGATGAACCCATCGCGTTGATGTTCCATGGAAAATAAGCAGTGTACTTAAGTCGTCTGGAAGAAGGAATAATGACAAGTAGTGCCAACTCAACAGCAGCAAGCGACAGTGACATGGGGGTAGTTGTTGTGGAGAGATTCAGCACGTACCACGCTGGTACCGCTGAAACTAGGGGACTGTTTCAACACGATAATGCACATGACCGTGAGGGCAGCAGCCACGGCAATCTTCCCCGTGAAATTAGGCTTCCGTCGCGAATCAGCAAAGTCCATCCCTGCGAAAAAGACAGGGAGAAATTTAAAAGTTGCACAAAGTAAACTATGATGGCTGGGCCCAATTGTGGTCTGGGTGCCCGAAAGATCAGTTATTTCTACTTAGCACCACTCATTTGGGGACTCAAGTATGCAGTCTCACGAGTTTATTGGTTTTGTACTAAATAAATTTGAACGTCCAGCACACAATAGAAAGTAAATTTACATGATCAGCTAGTTCAGTTTTTTTTTCCAAAAAAATATTTTTTGTGGTGCACAGTAAACTTGAAAGGACGGCATTTTGGTTTGAAATTTAGTGGTCGAAAATCACTCCTTTGCTGTTTAAAGACAGATCAGTGGAGTTATTATAGAGGCAAAAAAAGGAGGAAACAGAGAGGGGCGTAAAGCAGGGAAGGAATTGATGTACCTGACAAGATCCAAGGCCTAGTGGTCCTAGCCTGGCTTCTGCTCCTTGGGGTTGTTGGCATATGAAGTCGGCGCCCAAAGAATGAAACTGACAAGGCGACAAGAACTCGTCTCCCCTCGTCCTACCTCTGAATCTGCAAACCACGCGGTCAACGCACGATTAAAATTCATCTCAAGATCAAACCTTTGCAAGTCCAAGCACCATCTGTATACAGATACACACGCAGACGCGCGCACAGAACAGAAGGATCTCCATTAATCACGCGGAGAAAAGGCACCAGTGTCGGCGAATAACAACACCCAAAACGCGTGGCGAGAGCTCAAAAACGACGGGGAAAGAAAACTGGATCACGGCGAGGGAACTCACCCCACCTCGCGGAGTCGCGGTCGCTCGGTCGCAGATCGACGTAGGCAGCGACGGGAAGGCGGGAGGGCGGCGACTCGGCGCGTCCGCGGGAGCGGAAACGGAGGGGGGGCAGCCCAGGTGTCCAGGCCAAGATGGGATGGGGAGCGACGCGGAGAGGGATGGATGGAGGGAAGGGTGGTGGCAACAACTGAGCAGGAGGAGGGAGGCGGAGCAAGTCGTCGGGAGGGGTGTTTCCAATTTCTAGACTACCGGGTCGGGTCATAATAAGCACATGTGGGGTGCTACTGTACCAGAATCTTTTCACATTTTTTTTCCTTTCTGTCCAATGAATCCTTTTGCGTGTAGTTGGCTGGCATATACTCGTACTACGTATTCCTGCGAATTTGCAAAAAGTTAAGCTATTTTTAAAAAAAAACTAATCCTATGTGATTTCCAAGTCATGTTTGTTTCGCTGAAATTTAAGCTTATGTTAATATTTATGTTGATTTATTGTGAGAAGAAAACATTCTGCTGAAGTAGTTCAAACGATCAGGATCGTTGTGTTTTCTGGTAGTATAAATCATAGTATACTGAACCGAACGGGCACCGCTCGTTTGGTCTGATGATGAAAAGAACTGAACCGTTCACCTGACGGCTGACCGTAGACAATTGGCGTGCCCTGTCGCTGCGAATGATGGCAAACTGAACTCGGAATGATGGAACAGGGTACCCTACGTGCTTGAGCAGGACTCGAGGCGCGGGCGCGGCTTGTAACGGCGGTTTTGGCGAGCTTTGAGTGCCTCCAAATTTCAGAAGGTGCGTTGCGAGCTTTGCACAGGACGGCCGACGGGGGTAGCTTGGCATCGAGAAAGCTGCCAGTCTCCTCTCCGCTCTCCCCCAGGCGGCCAGGGCCAGGCCCCACTTCGTGCCAATTCCTCCGCGTTGCTCGCGTCACGTGATGGACCGAAGGCGGCTTCCTCCTCCTCCTCTTCTTCTTCCCAGGCGGCGTCCACTCCAGCCGTCTACGAGTTTCTTTTCGCTGCCTCTCAAGGTTCGGCTTGTATGCCCTCACCGACCGCCCCGTCAGTGCAGTGATGTGTCCTCCGACAACGCAGGATTCAGAGCAGAAACAACGATACTGACCCCGAAACCGGTGGCTCAGATGTCAATATTTCTTTTCTTTTTAAAAGGAGATGCCAGTTTTTCCACGGTGGAAGTTTCAGCGAATTTAATTCTGCTTACATCAAGCTCATACGTATTATATATATGCTGTTGAAAGGGGAAGCATCGGTTGATTGAGCGGTTCAGAGCGGGTGATGGTCAACGCTACTGTGCGCAACATTGAGATGGTACCTAACCATACCTAATCACACAGCGGAGGAGTACTGTGTTAGGCTGCAATGCATGCATTTTATTCTAAACGTATATTCATTATTAGTTTCCGTTCGTCTCGTTTTCGCTTTTTCTTGTTTGCTTCTTGGAATCTTCCGTAGCTGTGCTGGGCTCAGCACGACGACTGCTTCTTATCCTGCCTAACACTGTCTCCAGCGACCAGATCCAAAATATAAGAGATCTATTCGTTTTTTTATAGCGCTATAGATAAATAGTTCAATAATTATTTTTGTCTTTTCCAATAATAAGACTCAAAAGACAACTATTTCTGTAAATGGGTTTTCAAGAGAGAGGATACTCAACTTTGGTTTATGTCTCTCCTAACATCTAAAATAGATCTTCCATATAGATACTATATTGGAGGCTATATGTATTATATTATGAACCATTTTAGATTTAGATCCCGCAACGGATCTCCTAACGCCTGCAAATTACGTATTGGAGCAAGCAAACAAGCACTGGGCTCATTTTCGTGCGCGTTTGGGCGTGTTTGGGGGCCTTGTGGGAGGCTCGCGATCGGTGACGTGACGACAAAAGTTTGGTGACGGCTCAATACCGGTGTGGTGACGGTGGCCCGTCACAGCAGGAGCAGCCAGTGCACCGGCACCTGCCTGCCAGTGTCAATGGGCAACTAAGTCGGGTTCCCCTCGAGTTGGGTGGCGAAACACGCAATTGAAATGAAGGGTTGTAGGGCAATGGCAGAACCTGAGGTTTCGCCCTCGGTCTGTTCGTTTGGCGGTGGTTTATCGTAAACGATCCTAAATTTTAATCGAAACAGTATTTTTTTCTCACACAAACCAGCCAGCAGTATTTCTTCACGAACCAGCAACAAAACAAACCAGCCAACCGAACAGGTTGATGATAGCCGGTAAGGACGCGATGGTTCATGTTGATTTGGACCCTTTTTGTTTTCATCGGAGCAAAAGTTTAGCTCTATCACATTGAATATTTAAATATATATAAAATATTAAATATAAACTAATTACGAGATAAAATTTTTAAACCTAATTAGTTTATAATTTAACAATGTGTTACTACAGTAAACATATATTAATGACAGATTAATTAAGCTTAATAAATTTATCTAGCAAATTACTTAGGACTTCTATAATTTATTTATTTTTATTACACTTTGTAATGCACATCTTCTTATAACATCCGATGACACAAACTTTAGCTGGGTGATGATCGGATAGGCCATCAGCTAGTTATTGGCGGGCTAAGTCATGCTCAGCGGCAGAAAAAGCCGAGTAATATGGGCGAAATGAAATGACGTGGATGAAAGCAACCAAAAAAAAAGAACCTTTTTATGTTCGTTTGCAGGCTTGCAGCTGCCTGATCTGATGATCTGCCAGTGAATGCCTCATTGGCATCCCCCGTTCCATGCCATCCCTGAAACAGTTCATCACATGCTCCTCAAACATGGACACAGTTCTGCATCACATGCACATGATTCAAATGCAGGCTCAGGAACAAAACATACAACCTGATCTTTTGGCTGCGGCTGCAGGCACACAGTATTTCTCTAGTACACAAATGGAGGTACCCGAACGTCCGGCGCCAACAGCACGTCAGACACAGCTTCCAGTCTCAGACTCATCAACGGGAGCATCGCATTTCAGCATCAGAAAAAGTGAACCGAAACGCTACCTGCCCATGTGACGGAAGGGGAGAGCGTGCGCTCACGTTCGCGCTGCCATCCGCCGCGCGCCCCGTCCGCCGCCGCCCGCCGCACCCCTCTGCAGTCTGAGAAGAATGCAAGATAGCAGAAGGCGAGGAGGGAGACAAGACACCAAGTCAAGGCGGCAGAAGATGAGGAGGGAGATGCAACACCCGATCTACTTTTAAAACATCTAGATGAAATACTTGCAACATATAAAAAAAAGACAAATAAAACACTTAAAACATGTGTCTGAAACACTTGCAAAAAAGCGTAAAAAAAACACTTAAAACCATTACAAACATAAGCAACATCAAATAAAACACTTACAACATAAGTGTGAAACATATGCAACATCCAGATAAACACACTTACAAGATACGTCTAAAAACAGATGAAACATTGAAAACAGAGGCTTGCAACATACTATATAAACCATTGCAATATATATAACATTCGTATAAAACACTTGCAATATACCTCTGACTGAAACATACATTTGCAACACACGTTTTTTTAGCGCAACATGGCGCGGACAGCGCGGCGAACTGACGCAGTGGAGGCGGCCGCGACAGCAGATGGTGACACCCCACGAGGTGGAGGCGGCCGCGGCTGTCGGATGGAGGTGTCCCGCCACGATGGAGCCAGCCAGCAGGCCTACTTGGGCGCTGTAGCTCGGGGACGGCGGTGAGGAAGGACTGAAGCTACGCGGCCAAAGAGCTTGGCGGGGAAGACGGTGGCTTAGCCCTGCACCTCGGCGCCGTCGATCCGCAACCGCCGCTGCCAGTCAGTACTGGAGGCACGCTAGTGACCCCGCGGTTTCAAAAAAGGAATCCTGCCACGACATTCTGAACAGGCCAAATTTACAGTTCTTGGAAATAAAATATGGAGAATTTATAGTGACAGAGTACTGCAACGGCAATGTACTGTGCAATACTGTACACTTATTCCGATACAAGATATATATATAGTTGACAACGCGTATACAAGTACAGTAGCATGGTCCAAGTGTCCTAGGCAGGTGCACATGATTGGCTAAGTACAATGCAAACAATACTTCAAATGGTGTTTCAAGACCACCACATACGCAGTTATATTGCTGAACCAGGTAATTTCTATTTTTCTCAACAGTATATTGCCGTTGATGTGCCCATTGTTCTTTTTCCGAAACAACTGCAGTAATGCACAAAACGCATG